GTCTTCCCAGAAATGGATCAAGTGTGTGGATCCCAAATGCAAAAAAGTTTAAATAGAAGCTGAATACAAGTAGATTGGAAGAGACAGGAGGGGGAAATAGTGAGATTTTGAATTGTAGACTGAACACCTCAACACAACTCCGCAATTTCCACAATATTTCTCTTTTGTCACTGGATAGGTACCACCTGTTTTTCAATGCAACAGCAAATGTCCTCCTGGTTATTGTAAGGTAAAGAAGGAAGGGGAGCCCTTTTGTTGTTATGACTGTCATTCGTGTCCAGAAGGGAAGATCTCAAATCAAGAAGGTAAAGCCTTTTTTTTTAAACAAGTGTCATCACATATATGATTGTTAGGAGATCGACAAAGCAACTTTATGGCTGGTAGATGGTGATTGAATTGCTCAGATGNGCTATGACTGTCATCCATGTCCAGATGGGAAGATCTCAGTTCAGGAACGTAAGCTTTCTTTGCTTAAGTTTATCAACTATACGCTCATTGAAAGATTTACAGAGCAACATTATGGCTACTAGATGATCATAGAAAAGTTCCCATGTAATTTTAGCTAGCAATGTTGTTTTGATTGCCTTATTTCAATAAGCACACATTGTTTTTCAGATATGGATGACTGTTCCCTATGTCCAGAAGATCAATATGCAATCGATGGCCAGAATACGTGCATCCTGAAAACCATCACATTCCTGACTTACGAAAAGACCTTGGGAATCAGTTTGGCCTGTGCCACTTTGGCATTTTCTTTCATCACTGCTTTAGTACTTGGGATATTCATCAAGCACCAGGACACAACCATAGTCAAAGCCAACAACCGTGACCTCACCTACACCCTTCTCATCTCACTTCTGCTCTCTTTCCTTTGCACGTGGATGTTCATTGGCCAGCCTAAGAAGATGACATGTTTCCTTTGACAAACAACCATTGCTATAATTTTTTCAGTGGCTGTTTCTTGTGTTTTTTCCACAACCATCATTGTGGTTCTAGCTTTCATGGTCACCAAGTCTGAGTCTCCAATGAGGAAGTGGATCGGGAAGAAGCTGGCATCCTCCATCGTTCTTTCCAGTGTTCTTATTCAAAGTACTATTTGTACTGAGTGGCTGGTCACCAATCCCCCATTCCCTGATCTTGACACACACTCAATGAATAAGGAAATTGTCCTGCAGTGTAATGAAGGATCAGCCAACATGTTCTATTGTGTCTTAGGTTTTATGGGGTTCCTGGCTATTGTAAGCTTCTCTGAAGGAAACTTCCCGACAGTTTTAATGAAGCCAAGTTTATTGTGGGAATTCATTGCTGGGTTATGCTGTACTCACGTACGCCACGAAGACCAAGAGTATTGTAATTTACCTGTGTAACCATATAAGGCTTGTAACCTAAGCATTAAGGTGTTGGCTGCTTTTACTCGAAGGCCAATTGGCAGTATGCAAATACCTTTGTAAAACTGTGAAGTAATAAAAGCAGATGCCGGTGGTGAGAGGGGGAGGAAGAAGAAAAAACTTTGGGGGAAGAAGTTTTTGCTGTTCTCCCCCTGCAACTAAACCGAGCATGCTTTGTAACTGATTTCTGGACTGCAGTCTTTCTTTCTTTCTTTAAACTTTTTCGCGCCATTTTGTCCAGGCTGGCTGGCTGGCCGGTCAGCTCGCGACAGTTTATCACCTTCAGCATGTTGGTATTTTGCAGTGTGTGGGTGTCCTTTGTTCCAACGTACCTGAGCACAAAAGGGAACTACATTGTGGCTGTGGAGATCTTCTCCATCCTGGCCTCCAGTGCTGTTGTACTGTTTTTCATTTTTATCCCAAAATGCTATATTATTTTGTTGAAGCCTGAACTGAACAACAGGGAGCATCTTAAAAAAAAATCAATAATAAAGCAAGAATTGAAGAATGTAATCCAGCCAAAGTTATGTTGTTGTAATTATTCAGTGTATTGCTTCAGTGGGTTTTAATAATGATTTATTTATTTATTAATCTAAGACTTTTCCATACCCTTTCAATTAATGAACAACTTTTTTTGCAACATATTAAAACAAAACATAAACACTGCCATTCACACATTCCAATAGTTACAAGATAAAACCACCAATATACCACATTGGTAAGAATAAAGCAAAGTGTAAAATCAGAAATATAATTTTATAGAAGTAAGTATTAAATTTATAGAATCAAAGCATATTAAATAAACCAAGAACCACAATGTCATGTCATATAACTAAGCTATATATGCCTTTAGATGGGAAGAGCCAGAACTTAGTGTCTCTGTCAACACTGAATGCAGTAAAAGTGAAACTAAAGAAGTGATCTGTTTTTCCACTTTCATCCTTGGAAATATAGCATGCCGCTGTTTCAAACTTCTTCAACCCCATTTTTCAATCTGTTTGCCCTCTCTTTTGGAATTACAAAACTGAAATCACAATAAGAAGCAGGCTTTATCTAAAGTCAATGCAATCTAGGCACCTCTGACTTTTCCCCAGTTTTTGCTCTCTAACTTGTGTATTTGCATTTCTTCATGTGCTAAAATATTGGTTGCTTTAGATATAGATATAGATATAGATGTTGATATTGATATCAGTATAGATATTCTAGAGATGCACCTGTGTTTCCACCTTTCCACATATG